AGACGGGGGACATTGCAGACGGGGGTCAGCCAGGGCGCCGGATCCTGGAGGATCCTGCGAAGGCCCCTTCTGGCTGACCCGGGTCAGGGAGCCGCTCGTGGCCGCGAGGCGGCCGCACATATTGGCTGACCCGGGTTTGCGAAGACCTGCGTTGCAGTTTTTTTTCCTGCGTTGCAGTTTTTGGTTCCCTGCTGACCCGGGTCTGGATCGACCCGGGTCAGAAGATCCCCGATTGAAGGTGGAGACGGAGGAGGAGGAGGAGAAGGAGGAGGACGAGGAGGAGGAAAAAGAGGAGGAGGAGAAGGAGGAGGAGGAGGAGGAGGAGGAAAAGGAGGAGGAGGAGAAGGAGGAGAATGAGGAAGAGGAGGAACAGTGGTCATGGAGCAAGGAGGGAGGGGACATGGAGGCAGGCGAGAAGGGGAGGGAGGGTGGGAGCAGGGACAAAGGGAAGAGGAGGAAGCAGGGAACCGGGGGAAGGGGGGGGGGATAGTAGGACTAACACGGCGCTGCGGGGCCACGTCGCGTCATCCTCTCCTCCTCCTCCTCCTCCTCCTCCTCCTCCTCCTCCTCCCTCTCCTCCTCCTCCTCCTCCTTCTCCTCCTCCTCCTCCTCCTCCTCCTCCTCCTCCTCCTCGGTCGGTCGGTCGATCGGTCGGTCGTGAGGCGAAGGGGTCGCTGCCCACAGTGCGGGAGGCGGCGAGGCAGAGCAGGACGGAGACGGCGGCGCCTGGGACTCGCCATACCCCCCGTGGGCCGCACGAGGGCAAAACCCAAGCCAGAGCCCCCCCCCCCCCCCCCAAGAGGGGGGACGCAGGGGAGGGGAGAGCATGGGGGGGGAGAGCAGCAGCAGGAGGGGGGGAGGAGGAGAGAGGACCAGAAAGGAGGGACATGATGGACAGGAAGAGGAAAGAATTCGCTTCACACCAGGAGGGGAGACGCAGGGGAGGGAGAGAGCATGAGGGGGAGAGCAGGAGGCCGCAGGGTAAGATGAGCGGGGGTCTCGCCAGCCCTCCGTAAGGGCAGGAAAGGAGGAGGCCACAGGACCAACGAGCGTCTCGAGCCAGATCCGGCAACTGACTTCAATCCCTGGCCACTACAAGCTGGTCGTTGAGAGTAGGTATTTCTGGATGCCCAAATCCTAATCTCTTTTAGGCGCCTTCCTACTTCAAGAGTTGAGCGGTTTTTCTTCTTTCCTCATCTTCAGGGGGCGGGTGGAAGCCCAATCTACAACGCCTTCCTACTTCATGTTTCAACCCACTTCTTCCGACTAGAGTGTAGTCTGCGCACAAGCGAACGCCCACTCTGACACTATGGCAGAGCCCATGATGCTTGTACCGGCCCGAACTTACCACAGGCTCAAGGCGAATTCTAAGGAATGGCGGTCTCCCAGGTGCTAGACACGATGGCCCGTGTCGAACCCAAGATCCTGGAGGCGAGAGACGAATTTGGACAGCAGGAGTTGCAACACTTCGCTGAACGGACTCGGCTCTAAAGCGGAATATCCTATCCCACGTGTCGCTTTGGGTCCATGATTCGATTGAGCCGTTGCCCCAGGACTGCACACAGTACGTTGACCCTTCGAAGAACCGAGTCGGAAACGCTGGAATGGCTCTTGGGAGCATTTCGAAAGATACGATGTTCTGGCAAAAACTGCTGCTCGGCTTTCCGGGTGCAGTGCTGTTTGAGCAAAGCCACTGCCGAATCCACCCAATCTGTCCCAAGCAAAATTGCATTCGCACACCCAGGCCAGAGGGCAATACCAACTCCTGAGGCTCCGGCATGATCAGCTCCAGACGCTCCAGCACCAATTCGGGCATCGCCATCTCGAGTTTGCGGACGCGCGCGCGGGCCGTATGTCCAGCACTCCTCGGGCCCGCAGCCGCAGAAGACGCTCCTCGGACACCGAGCTCGCCGTGCAGGCGGAGGACCGGCAGGTCCCGAGGCCCACCGCGAGGAGGCTGGGGAGCCTGGCGTGGAGCAGGCGAGCCAAGGCCTGCGCGGAGAGCAGCGTCCAGGGCCGCGCCCAGGCTCGCAGGCCTCGAGGTTGACACCAACACCAGTGTCGACGGCGTGCCTCCACCGAGGGAAGAGGATCCAGGTCTCGGTGGTGGTGGTAACTACTCTGGCCTCCAGGGCGGCGGAAATAGTACCACCAGCACCGAGATCTGGGATCGTCTTCCCCCTGTGGAGGCAAGCCCCTGTGTTTCCAGGCCTACTGCATGGGGTCGGAGTAGATGGGGTCAAGAGGATCTCGCCGCATCGGCGATGCATCGGCGACGCGGCTCCATGCGGGGCCCGATCTTCTCCACGCCGACGCCGCCGATGCACCGCCGAAGTCGCCAGTGCATCGCCGATGCATCGCCAACGCATCGGCGATGCACCAGCGATTCGGCGATGATCCTCCGACCACATCTACTCCGCCCGCGGTGCTCGGAGGCCGCGAGCGCCCCGACCACGCGCTGGGCAGCCCGAGAGCCTCCCGCGCGGCGCGCCCGCCGCGGCGCGCCTGCCCGCGGCGCGCTTGGCTGGCGCCGGGGCCGTGGCCGCCCCTCGTGCTGCAGCGGGGGCCCACGCCGAGAGGCAGCAGGAGGGGAGAGCACACACAGACACAACGAGTTGTCGATTCCCCAGGAAGTATAGGAAAATATGGGAAGGAGGGGGGGAGGGGAGAGAACACTTTTTTGGTCGGCGGGTCGGGAGCGGGCCCCTTCCGGTTAAGAGCCAGGCGGGGCGCGCGAAGCCCTAAGTGGGGAGGCAGGGCGCGGGCGGGCGGGGCCTCAGGCGGCCGGAGGGTGCAGAGTACAGGCGGTGCCGAAGATCTTGCACAGGACAAGGTACGCCTTGGACAGGAGCCGGGGGCGAAGTCCCGGGGGGAGAGTGGATTGGTAGGGGAGAAAATGCACAGACACAATGAATTGTCGATTAACTTGGAAATACGGGAAAATATGGGAAGGGGGGAAGGACAAGAACCCAGGAAAGATGGGAAAATAGGGGGAGTCCTGTTAGTTGTGTCTATTTATTTGTGTGTCCCAGAGCCCCCTCAAGTCACCCTGCTTGCCTCCAGGGTGCCCTGGGTTTCTCGAGTTTCGACGGCTTTGCTGTGGGAGGCGTGGCGTTCCCGCGCCAGGAAGCCATGGGCGCCCTGGGGTCTCAGGGTGTGGGAGAGGTTTCTTGTGGGATGTTTCTGGTAGGCTGGCCTCCGCTGTGGGGAGAGATGGAGGGGTGTGGGGCAGAGGCAGAGGCACAGGCCGGGGCCTCGTGTGGCGCAGGCTCGCAAGGTTCAGAGGGGTCCGCCAGAGCCAGCGCTCTCCTCCTCTCCTCCTCCTCCTCCTCCTCCTCCTCCCCCTCCTCCTCCTCCTCCTCCTCCTCCTCCTCCTCCTCCTCCTCCTCCTCCTCCCCCTCCTTCTCCTCCTTCTCCTCCTCCTCCTCCGACGACAGTCCGCTTTCTTACGGATGCTTCCTCCCGGTCGCACCCCAGGGCTGGTCGAAAGGGGGGGCGGGCGTGTCGCCGGAGGTTTCCGCACCATGGATGATTTTGATGCTGAAAATTTGGCAACAGCTTTTCAGATGGAGGGCGGGTGGTTTTCAAAATGTGGCTTCCGCTCTCGCGTCGCGCGCATTGTTCCAACATTTGCAGGGGAGCTTCATGGATTGAGGGCGGGTGGTTTCCAAAGTGTGGCCCTCGCCCGAGCGCCGCGCACCGGTGTAGATTCTCCCAAGAGCTTGACGGGTTGAGAAAGGGTGGCTTCTAAAATATGGCTCGCATCGAACATTTGCAAGAGTTCCACGGATTGGGGGCGGGTGGCTTTCAAAATGATCACCCCCCTCCGCGGAGACTCTAGTGGGTAACTCCCCGAGGTTGGGCGTCGCCGTTTCCTGTTTTCTCGGGGAGTGCGCTAAGTCTTCGCAGGATCTTTCGTCGCCGTTTTTTTCTGGGTTCCTCGGCGTCTTTTGGGGCGCGTGATGCGGACTGCGGTTTACTCGCGGGCTTCCTTGGGGCGCGTGGCCTCATGGGGGGCGCCACCGAAGGCCCCAGCGTCAGGGTTCACATATGCCCCCTGGCAAATTTGGGCACACGCACACACATACACACACGCACATACACACGCACACATCACACGGTTCGTGGCTTCATAGGGATCCAGCTCCGCCGAGCGCCTCAATAGCAGGGATCACATGCGTCCCAAGTCCAGTTTTGGCACACCCCTCACACGGTGCGTGGCTTCATAGGGAGATTCAGGGAGTTTCACCGAAGGCCCTTGTGGCAGGGTTCGCATGCGATCCGTCAAGTGTTTTGGCGTGTCGTCGTCGTTGTTTTGTTCGAAGAGGTTCACTGAAGTTTTGCGTTTGGTTCGCCGTTTTGTTGTTGGGGTGGGTTTGCGTGGGGCGAGTCACGTCGCCGTTTTTCGGTGACACTCGGTAAGTGTGCAGGAATCAAATTTTCTTCGATGGTCTCTCTGATCGGATTGGTTAAATAATGATAAAGGGGAGTGATTCAAAATGTGGTTCTCGCTTCAGCGCTGCGCACACTCGTTGAATACAGTTGCAAGAGTTTCACGGATTGAGGCTGGGTGGTTTTCAAAATGTGGCTCTCGCTTCAGCGCGCCGAAGGTTTGTTGGTAAATACTGTGGAGCTTCACGGATTGAGGACGGATGGTTTTCAAATTTGGTTCTCGCCTTCGCGCCGCACACATGTGTTGAATACAGTTGCAAGAGTTATTGTCTTAGTACCGCGAGCATTTTTTTCACATGTGCAAGAGCTTCACGGATTGAGGGCTGTTCTTCTTCAACATGTGGTTCTCGCCTTAGCGCCGCGGTCATTCGTTTCAAACATTTGCAATGGTTTCATTGATTCTCATGGTTCAAGTACCAGATTTGGTGTTTTGGAGCGATTGTCAGGGCGCAACAGCTACGTTACTTCGCGGTGTAGAAGGGTCCCCAGAACGATTCAGGATCGCCAAGATGTAACATTCAGCTCAAATCGTGGCGTTGGAGTCCTGAGAATGGTGTGCTGGCACGCTTCAGGATGTTCCCACGGGGCAGCTCCTTCCGCGGGAAAGACCGCTTGCAGCTGCCTGTGAGGAGGGATCTGGCGGTAGGTGCGCGAGGGGAAGGGAGCTGAGGGAAGGCGAGGGCAGGCAGGTCGAGGCGACGGGGGGAGGAGTGGGAGGAGGAATGAGGATGGGAGTGTGAGATGATGACTGCGGTTGCGAGCTGGGAGTCGGCATTCTTCAGATGGAGCCTTCACCAAGTACTTTTCGTGTGTAATCTGCCTATGTGGGGAAAGTCCTCGTTACGGCTACCCCACTCACATCATCATCATCATCATCATCATCATCATCATCATCATCATCATCATCATCATCATCATCATCATCATCATCAGCATCAGCATCAGCATCAGCATCAGCATCAGCATCAGCATCAGCATCAGCATCATCATCATCATCATCATCATCAGCATCATCATCAGCAGCAGCATCATCATCCTAATGGGAGTATGATCAGTGACGTTGCGGTGGAGATCCATGCCAAGAAACACCCTGCTTGCCTCCAGGGTGCCCTTTGTTTCTTGGGTTCCGATATGTTTACCATGGAACGCGTGACGTTCTCACGCCGAAAATGAATGGACGTCCTGGGGTCTCAGGGTTAGGTTTCTTGTGGAATGTTTCTTGTGGACTAGCCTCCACTGTAGGTGGACATCATAAGGACACATTTGACCTCCATGGCCTCCGAGAGCAAGAAGCCGCGCATCACGACGGCGGCAGGAGTAGGAGGAGCATGAGGTGGATTTGAGGGTGTGGCGAGTCGACGACGGCAGTGATGATAACAGGAAGGAAGAGGAGTGCATCGGGTAGGCTAGGACAGTGAAGTGAGCGGAAGCGAGGAGCGGAAGCGGGGACAAGGTTGCGCCAGGCGAGGAGAGGGGGAGGACGAGCACGATGAGAGTTGGGCGGATGAGGGGCTGCGGCGGGTCGGCGATGGGGTGATGGCAGGCGGGAGGGGAGGAGTGGGGGGGGGGTCCCAGGAGAAGGGCAGCGGATGCGTGCAGTGGGGCAGCGAGGGAGGGCGGGGAAGGTCGAGGTCGAGAGGGTGTGAAGCTGGGGCGGCGAGCAGGGAAGGACCGCGCTGTCCAAGAGCAACGCCGCGCGCCTGGGCGTGTCGGTCGCACCACCCGACGAGAGGGAGACGAGCGGCAGTATACAGCCGAGACGCTGAAATACGGACCGCGTTGGGTTCGGAAGGGGCTCGGGGGTTTGGGTCGTTTCTTAGATGTATGTCGCGGGATTTGCTTGTGGCCTAGGCCCAACGTGGCCAGAAAAGCCCCCGTGTTCCTTATTTGGCGTTCCCTCTAGTTGTACCTCGACTGTAGCAGCACCATGCGCGTAGTCTTCTTGAACATCAACCGCATAAGCGGTTACCAGAGCAGGCAAGTTTCGGCGAAGCCAGGGTCACAGATAGGCAGATGCAGGTTCCCAAGCTTGTGCACGAGCATCGCTGGGAGCACAACCATGAGGATGCGTGGTATATCGAATGTAGCGGATGGCCACGGGCAGATTCACACGTAGGCGGTTCAGTGATGTTGAGTGTGCACGTTCAGGCGTATGAGTTGTTAGATAACATGCCATTGCTCGTTGTTGTCCGAACACATAAGAGAGTTCCGGCGAACAGCGATGCTACATATCCATAATACTTTCATTATCGTGCAAGACATGCGCAACTATATTCATAGTTTCTAACCCCATGCATGTGCGCCATCACAAGGAACAGTCTGAAAATGTTCACGCGCACTGCTGACACCCGTATCTGTCAATTCCAACATCGAGCGTGCGCAGTTCCCATTGAGCCCCGATGCTCAGCAATGGTGATCAAGACCGCCATCCTCGTGGTTGTTGTGTTTCACTTCACGAATTGTACGTCCCTGATCGTGCGTGTTGGTCTTGAGCTTGTGCGGATGAGGACGATGAAGATGATCGCTTGGTGTCGTTGTAGCGCACAGCTCTCTTCCAGTTGTGCAAGGCCTTGTCACACAGCCTCTGCGCGGTTACTCTGGTCCCTCTTCTCCCGCCTCCTCCTCTGCGGCTGGATCCGCCTCGTGCCCGTGGGGCCGTTTTGGTTCTCTTCGGGCGCGGGTTTCCCTGTGATCCCTCGTCGCTTCGTCGGATGCGGCTCGTTTTGCTGCTGGGCTCATCGGAGCTCAGCCCCTGGTGGCATTGGCCACGTCTCGGCTGGGTGCCAGAGGCCTCTGGACGGGCCTGCGTCATCAGTCCCCTCAGCCCCCTCTCCTCCTCCTCCTCCTCCTCCTCCTCCTCCTCCTCCTCCTCCTCCTCCTCCTCCTCCTCCTCCCATTTCTGCTCTCCTCAATATCAGGCTACACACATCTGCGCAGAAGCGCGATACGTAGCTACTCCGTGTGCTTCATAACTCACTCGTGGTTGTTCCATAGAATGCGTCGTGGCCACTTCGGGCCACTTTCCGAGGACGAGGAGGGGTAGGAGAGGAAGGATAGGAGTAGGAGAAGGAAGGGGACAAGGAGGAGGACGAGGAGGCAAAGGGAGAGGAGGAGGAGGAGGAGGACGAGGACGAGGACGGGGAGGAGGAGGAGGAGGAGGAGGAGGAGGAGGAGGAGGAGCAGGAGCAGGAGGACGAGGACGAGGACGAGGACGAGGAGCAGCAGCAGCAGCAGCAGCAGCAGCACAGCAGCAGCAGCAGCAGCAGCAGGGGCGACAGAGGCGGGGAGGGGGAGGCGGAGCGCGGCATTATAATGGCTCGACGCGGAGATCCCCACGTTTGCACCTCTTCCTCGTCGAGCTCGCCGCGCACGGGCTCCTGGGCGTGAGCGAGGCGGGGCGTCGAGACGCGAGCGGAGCTGCCCGTGAGCGGGTCGGAGCACGGGCGGGCCTCGAGGCCCGAGGTGCACCCCGTGGTCGACGCCCGCTCGAGGTGCCCGAGTGCTATGATGCTCGCTGTACCGCGACGGCCACGATTATTGTCCTCCTCCTCTTCCTCCTCCTCCTCCTCCTCCTCCCTCCTCCTCCTCCTCCTCCTCCTCCTCCTCCCCCTCCCCTCCTCCTCCTCCCCCTCCTCCTCCTCCTCCTCCTCCTCCTCCTCCTCCTCCTCCTCCTCCTCCTCCCAGACCCTCGCGTGGTGGAAGAATCGGGTGTTGCTAGAAGTACCCCGGGCCCAAGGTGCCCCCAGGATTCTCGGGGTGGCCCAGACGGCCCGCAGGGCACCCCTCACGAGGCCCAGAGGGCCCCAGGGGCTCAAAGTTGGAGCGAAAAGCTGGGGGCACCTTGGGCCGGGGGCACTTCTAGCCACACCCGAACCGGGTTCCCAGAACGGCGTTCTACATGGGAGCGAGCACAAATTTGGAAGCAAACGGTCCGGTGGGACACCCAGGGGTTACCAAGTGCTATTCCTGCCTCATCGTGCGCGAACGGGCCCGCTCAAAACAACGAGGAGCGGGGGACGCCCAAACCGGCGTTACGTTTGAGACGTCCCCGCATTCTCGGCGCGAGCGGGCCCGTGCAATACCCCCCATGGCGGTTCCCGCTGGGGGGATCACGTGGTGCGCCTGCTGCATCGCGATGACCATGGGGATCTGAAGAAGGAGGGTGTTGAGTCGCAGGCCTGAGGTTCGCACCAACACCAATATTTGCGGCGTGCCTCCGCCGAGCGAAGATGATCCTGATCTCGGCGATGGTGGCACTATTCAGGCTTCCTAGGTGGCCGAAATATTACCACCAACGACATCATCTAGGATCATCTTCCCCCGATGGAGGCAATCCTCTGAATTGGTGCTGGTTCCAATTTCCCAGCATCCAGGTTGAGGTGCCAGAAGCAGGTGCCGCTTGATATCGTGAGCACAGCTTCGAGCGCGACGGGCATGGCGGCTCCCACTCGGGTTGCCCAAATGCTATGCCCGCTACAGTCGGGGCCCTGAAGAAAGAACCCTTTTCGTTGGGGAGGGGCTCCGCGTTCCTCAAGTGTTTCGCAGCTTGCCTCAGGTTTCCCTTATGTTTTCGATCGGAAATCGAAGCTTAACTTCTGGAGAAAAGGGGCCTCGTTCCTTATTTTGGGTTCCTTGGGTCAAGGCCCCCACTGTACATCCCGATGGTGATGCGGCTCTGCAGGGAGAGGATGCCGGGAGACCCGGCCGTCTCTCCGGAGAGCGGGCGCGCACCTGGAAGCAGGCGGGCCCCTGCGACCCCCCCCGTGGCGGCTCCCCCCCCCTCGGGGTGCCCGGGTGCGGTGCACGCGGCATGACGATGGGAATAGGCTGAAGTCGGGCCTGTCCCTCTACAGGAAGAAGATGCAAAAATAGGCAAAAAATAGTCAGGGGACGATTTGTCGACCCTTTTTGAGCATGTTTAAATTTGTTGGGGGTATTTGTTATTTTTCGTTCACCACCTCTAGGGGGGCATGTCCGACCTAATCATATGGTTCTTAACCAAAAAGAAGGCCAGGCGGTTGGGGTGCCACAGCGGATGCTCCACGTCAGAGAGGATACACAGTTGGACGCGGAGGGACCCGTGATGCACCCCTAGTCGGCTCCCAGGTGAAGGTGTCCGAGTGCTATGCCTTCTACATCGCGATCCACCATGAGACAGCGGAATGGGGGAATCCGGGGGTGCCCAAACAGGCGTCCTACCTGAGAGCGAGCACGCATCGGGACGTGGATGGGCCCGTACATTGTACCCCGTGGCAGCTCCCCCCATTGAGATGCCCAGCCGATATGCTTGCTACGTCTCGAGGGTCATGCTGCATTGAGTTGTGGAGGACGATCAATGGAGAGGAAGCATGCTGCCAAATAATGTTCGGATGTCTAAAGGATGCTTCAAATATGTCAAATATGTTTGAGACATCTTTAGAACATGTTTTACACATGTTAAACACATCTTGAATTCAATGACAGGGTTGTCAGAGTGTCCATTGTTATGGCATTCACAAGCTTTGAGCTGGGAGGACGCCGGGGTGCCCGAGCGGGCGTCCCACCCGAGAGCGGGCGCGGGCCTGGACGCGGCCCGGGCCCATGCAGAGGTGCACCTCCGGGCAGCTCGCCTCGGTGCGCCCGGGTGGCGGCTGCCTCTACCTTTTTAAGGCGGGCCTGTCCCTCTACGGGGGGAATGTTCAAGAAATAGTCAAAACATAGTCTGGGAACCATTTTTTTAACATATTCTTTGGCATACTTTGAGTATTTGTTTGTGTATCTTCTATGTTTCGTCCAATGTCCCCCTGTAGGGGGACACGCCCGACCTAACTCTACCTCGCGATGGTCACGCCGGGGGCGGCAAAGAGGAGTGGGGGGACGACCGCGGGGGGGTGGGACAGCGCGGCGGGGGCCACGATGTCTCCCCTGATCTCCTGGCGCCTTTTCCTCCTACGCCTTTCATTCCGCCCCTGGCCCCCCCCCCCTGGGCCGCGCACACGCCGCCGGCCACGATCTGCCCCGCTTGGACGCCCCACTCGTTAGCCAACCCCGATTCATGAGGAGGAGGAGGAGGAGGAGGAGGAGGAGGAGGAGGAGGAGGAGGAGGAGGAGGAGGTGGAGGGAGAGGGAGGAGGAGGAGGAGGAGGAGGGAGGAGGAGGAGGAGAAGGAGGAGGAGGAGGAGGAGGAGAAGGAGGTCGTGCGGAGGTGCTGGAGCCCGCTCGCCTTGCTGAGAGCGAGCACACGTCGGGGCGCGGACGGGCCCGTGCGATACAGTCGGGGCCCTGAAGAAGGAACCCTTTTCGCTGGGGAGGGGCTCGGTGTTCCTTGATTGTTTCAAAGTTTGCCTCGGGTTTTCCTCGGGTTTTCCATAGGAAATCGAGGTTGAACTTATGGGAAAAAGGGGCCTCGTTCCTTATTTAGGGTTCCTTAGGTCAACGCCTCGACTGTACTCCTTTGGCGGCTCCCCCCATGGGGGTGCCCCGGCTTCGTGCCTGCCACATCGCGATGCCCACGGGGGCTCTGAAGCGGGAGGGTGCTGGGGTGCAGCACAAGAAGGGCGTCCTGCATGGTGTGTGAGCACAACTGTGAGCGCGAACGGGCCCGTGAACAACGAGGGTGTTGTGAAAGCAAGCTCTCAGCCTAAAATTGAGCACGCATCTGGACGCCAAATGTTATGTGCAATATCCCCTGGCGGTTCCCCCGTGAGCTACACAAGCGTTGTGCCTGCTACATTGCGATGACCATGGGGCTTGCAAGGGGATGATGTTGTGATGCCATGGCGGCTTTCTACTCGAGAGCAAGCATAATTCTGAACGCGAACGGAATGATCTGACAATGAGTGGTGTGTGTGTGTGTGTATTGGTCAGAGTATGGGGTGGGTCTGAGTGGGAGTGAATCTGAGTGGGGCTGAGCCTGGGTATGGGCGAGCCTGACTGTGAACGAGTGGCTGCTTCGTTCGAGCATGGGTATGGTCAAGCTGAGCACGGGCGGATCTGAGTCTGAGTTGCCTGGGTCTGCGTGAGTCTGCGTGTAGAAGGTGGAAGGCAGGAGTGAGTGAGTGAGGGTGAGGCGGAGCCTTCCCACCGAGAACAAGAGCTTCACATGTGGGGACATTGGGAACAGCACGTAATCTCGCGATCGGCCTCAGAGCGGCGGGTTAACCAACCGAAATGCGACCGAGGCCCAGAATCGGTGGCGAGCGAGGGGGGGAAGTGAGACGGGGCGGGCCTTCTCCAAAGGCTCGGAAGTCCCCTGGCATTCTGAACAGTTTTCTAAGCCTTCGCCGAAGACGCAGGGCTTCTGAGAAGTCCCGCCGCCTTCTGAGAAGGCCTTCTCCTTCTCATATCCCCCCCTCGCTCGCCGCCAACAGAAGGGGCGTGCCGTGTCCTCTTGGAGGCTCTTTGTGGAAAGGCGTGGGTTTTCCCTTTCACATGTGCCGCACTTCGATTCGCCTGTGCAGCCGACTTTCCACCACATCTACTTTGGGTAGGAAAGGGAGGAGGAGGAGGAGGAAAAGGACAAGGACAAGGACGAGGACAAGGACGAGGAGGAGGAGGCGGCGGCGGCGGCGGCGGAGGAGGACCTCCCCATCCTCCCTCCTCCCCCGTTCTGCCTCTGGCCGGTGGTGGCCCAGGGGCGCCGCCGACCGAGAGAGGCGGCGGGGCCCTGGCTGCATCGCAAGAGGCCCTTGTCGGCGGCGAGGGAGGGGGCGCCGTCCCGCCGCCTCCTCCTCCGCCTCTTCCTCCTCCTCCTCCAGGTCCTCCTTCTCCAAGTCCTCCTCCTCCAAGTCCTCCTCCTGCAAGTCCTCCTCCTCCAAGGCCTCCTCCTCCTCCTCCTCCTCCTCCTCCTCCTCCTCCTCCTCCTCCTCCCCCTCCTCTTTTTCCTTCTCCTCCTCCTCCTCGTCCTCCTCCCCCTCCTTCTCCTTCTCCTCCTTCTCGTCGTCGTCCTCCTCCTCCTCCTCCTCCCATGCAGAGGAGGAGGGGCCGGGGCCGTGCCGGCGAAGGACGGGCTTGGCGTGGCGCGGGGCCTGCGCTTCGCCGGCGAGCCGGTGGGCGACCTGTCTGTGCAGGCCGCTCCCGGCCGCAAGGAGGAGGAGGAGGAGGAGGAGGAGGAGGAGGAGGAGGAGGAGGAGGAGGAGGAGGAGAGGAGGAGTAGGAGGAGGGGAGGAGGAGGAGGAGGGAGGAGGAGGAGGAGGAGGAGGAGGAGGAGGAGGAGGAGAGAGGAGGAGGAGGAGGGAGGAGGAGGAGCAGGTGGAGGAGGAGGAGGAGGAGGAGGAGGAGGAGGAGGAGGAGGAGGGAGGAGGAGGAGGAGGAGGAGGAGAGGAGGATAGGAGGAGGAGGAGGAGGAGGAGGAGGAGGAGGAGGAGGAGGAGGGAGGAGGAGGAGGAGGAGGAGGAGGAGGAGGATGGGCAGGAGAAGGAGGAGGAGGAGGAGGATCAGTGTAAACCCAAGACTCATCATCCACGTTGGAGTATACCCTACCTCCAAGCTGTCTCTTCATAGGTCCCTACAAGGATTGATTTCCACTGAGGGAAGTGGCCCGTTGGGAGACAACTGTTGTCAGACCCTGAGGCGTATCAAAAGACCATTCCCGGGACTCCAACGCCACGAACCAACGTGACTATTGCGTCTTGACAATCCTGAATCGTGCCAGAACGCCATTCATGGAATTTCAGCACCGCGAATCAACGTGAATGTTGCGCCCTGACAGTCCTGAATCTTTCCAAACGCCATGTCTGGTTCGTTGACCATTGGAACCCGTGAAACTCTTGCAAATGTTAACACGAATGGGCGCGGTGCTAAGGCGAGAGCCACATTTTGAAAACGAGCCGCCCTCAATCCGTGAATCTTTTGCAATTTCTTAAGTCGAATGTGCGCGGTGCTCAGGCGAGAGCCACATTCTGGAAACCACCCGCCCTCCATCCCTGAAGCTCTTGCGTCGTTATAGGACGAATGTGTGGCGCTAAGGCGAGAGCTTTATTCTGGATACCACCCGCCCTCCATCCGTGAAGTTCTTGCAACTTCTCAAGACGAGTATGCGCGACGCTGTGGCGAAAGCCACATTTTGAAAACCACTCGCCCTCCATCTGCGAAACTGTTGCCAAGTTTTTAGCTCCATAGCATAAGCGGTGAGGAAGTCTCAGGCGAAACGCCCGTCCCGCCTTTTCGCCTGGCCTCGGGGCGCGACAGGGAGAAGTTATTTGCAAGAAGAAGGAATGAGGGAGGAGGAGGAGGAGGAAGAGGAGGAGGAGGGAGGAGGAGGAGGGGTAGGAAGTGGAGAAGGAAGTGAAGGAGAGGGAGGAGGAGGAGGAGGAAGAGGAGGAAGTAAAGGAGGAGGATAAAGAGGAGGAGGAGGAGGAGTTGATCATAAGGAGTCTAGCGTGCGAGTTCTGTGTGTATGTGTATCTGTAGTTGGTTACGTATAAGAACATGTATGTGTGTAGATCTGTGTGTATAATCATTATTTGTATGTATGTATACGTACATGTAAATGAGACTGCACATGTGTGGTTGCTTATGTGTATATGTATATGCATGTGTCTGTGTATATGTAAAGGTTCATGCATTCACTCATGCACATGAATGTGTATAGGTTGATCTGGACGTGCATGCTTTTGCATGTCTAAATATGAATGCATATGTTAATTTAGTTGTATACTGTAACGTACATGTGCATGCATACGTATACGTATATGTGCATACGTACATGTATATGTATAGCGATAGGGTATGTATATGCATTGCATATCGATAAGTATTTATACACGTAAGTGTAACCAGTCATGTAGTTGTGTTCGTTTATGCATATGTATATGTATATGTATGTGGACGTGGCTGCGTTTGTGTAGGTATGTGTGCAGGCTTATGTGCATGCGTGTGTGTGTATATATGTATAGGTGTCTGCATATAGTTATGCATGTGTCGATGCATATGTACATGTACATGTATATGCATAATCGAAGACGCCTATGGCGAATCACCGCCGCACCCTGCCTTTTTGGAAGCGCCTATGTGGCCGAACGTTGAGGCCAGACCTGCCAAGGTATCGGACCTGATGTTCCCCGAATCGGTTTGGAAAGCCTTCGGGGAACACGTGGACATCTTGAAGATCATTTTGGCCGCCTGGAGGCCATTTTTACCCTTTCGGGCCCTCTTGGGGGACGTCTTGGAGGGCTCTTGGGCCGCCTTGGAGGCCCTCTTGAGCGACTTGGGGGCCTCTTGGGCCGTCTTGGGGGCCTCTTGGGGCCGTCTTGGGCCTCTTGGGCGATCTTTGGGGGCACTTGGGCAGTCTCGGACCGTCGGAAGGCAGAAACAAAGCAAATGCCACAATCCTTCAACAACTCATGGGGAATCAACGATTTTGGCCTTTCGGCTTTCCTGGAGGCCCTCTTGGAGGCCTCTTGGGCCATCTTAGTACCATCTTCGGCAGTCTTGGTGGGCCCCTGGCCCGTCCGACGCCGTCGGAAGCCGTTTGGGGGGCCTCTCTGAGCCGACTTGGGGCCCTCCTGGAATGCTCCAGGGCCGTCCTCGAGGCTATCTTGGCCGTCTTAAAAGCCTCCTGAGCCGTCTTGGGTGCCTCTTGGGGCCGTCTTGGGGGCCTCTTGGGCCGTTCTGGGGCCATCTTGGAGGCATTATTGCAATCTTTGGGGGCTCCTGAGCCGTCTCGGTCCGTCGGAAAGCCGAAAAGAAGCAAGTGTCCAAACCCTTCAAACACCTATGGAAAATCAGTGTTTGAGACATTTTTCTGGGCTTCCTGGACACCCTCTTGGAGGCATGTTGGGCCGTCTTGGGCCAGCTTCGAGCCAACTTCGGCCATCTTGGTGGGCCCCGTCTGACGCCGTCGGGAGCCGTCTTGGGGGCCTCTCTGAACCGACTTGGGGTCCTCTTGGGGCGCTTCGGGGCCGTCTTGGAGGCCATCTTGGGCATCTTGGAGGTCTCTTGGGCCGTCTTGGGGCCGTCTTGGAGGCCTCTTGGGCCGTCATGGGGCCCTCTTGGAGGCCTCGTGGGCGATCTTGGGGCGATCTTGGCGGCCTCTTGGGCCGTCTTGAGCCGTCGGAATGCCGAGAAGAGGCAAATGCCAAAATCCTTCAAACACCTATGGAAAATCAATGATGTTGGACTCTTCGGGTCCTCCTGGAGAACCTCTTGGAGGCCTCTTGGGTCGTGTTGGGCCATCTTGGAGGCTTCTTGGGCGAACTTGGAGGTATCTTGAACTCTCTTGGGCCGTCTTGGAGGCCGTCTTGGACCATCTTGGGCGAACTTGGAGCACATCTTGGAGGCCATCTTGGGCCAACGTGACCATCTTGGAGGCCATCTTGAGCCGTCTTGGAGGATTTTTTGTGGACGCTGAGGTGGTCTACGCGGCCTTCCGGGACCCCGGCGGAACGCGCCGAAGCCCCAGGAAAAAAAAACAAGACCCAAACCGAGAGGATTCAGCACGCCAGGCACCCCTGCGATGAATCGACAGGGGGCGGCGGACTAGTGGCCTTCGGCCCATCCCGCCACCGTGCCTAGGTTGTGGGAAGCCTAGTGGCTGTTCGTTAGGACCTCGTGGGAGGCTTCTCGGGGGCTTCTCGGAAGCAGTTTGGACGATTCTTGGGGGCCAGTTTGGGGCCTATCTTGGGCCTCTTGGGGGCCTCTTGGGGCCTCTTGGGGGCCTTCTCGGGGGACTCTTGGGTCCTCCTGGGCGCCTCTTGGGGCCTCCTGGGGGCCTCTTGGGGCGGAAGGCTTGGATTTTCAGTCCGTGTTCCCTCTCTTGTTCCCCTTTTGGAACCGTCTTGGGGCCCTCTTGGGCCGTTTTGAGCCCCCCCTCTGGGAGGCCTTTTGGGCCATTTTGGGAAGCCGAAAAGGCGAAAATGCCAAAATCAGTTGAAAACCAAAAGGAACATCCATGATTTGAGCCTCTTGGGGCCCTCTTTGGAAGCCTCTTGGAGGTCTCTTTGGGCGCCTTGGAGGCCTCTTGGGCCGTCTGGGGGCCATCTTGAGCGTCTTGGGGCGATCGTTCGGCGACTCGGAGCCTCCTTGGACAGTTTTGGGGGCTTCTCGGGGCCCTTTTGGCCCGCCTTGGGGCCCTCTTGGGCCAGAGAAAGTGACGCGAGAAGACGCTGGGAACGCAAGGTGAACCGCGCCAAGCCCTGGTAGATTTGGCAGTTTGGGGTCCGGGCCCCTTGGAGACCCCTCAGGAGTTAGGAGTGGAGTGAGTCTTAGAGGATTGGGTACAATACCTGAGCACACGCCCACTCTGTGCCCAGCGGCACGGTGGCGAATGTATATGTGCATGTGTATGTGTATGTGTATGCACCTGTTTGCGTATATCTAGATGCATATGTGTAAGTATATGTGCAGGTATATGTAGTTACGTATGCAAATGTACATGTAGGTGTATGTGTTGCGTATATGTATGTGTAGTTGTAGGTGTACCTGCATATGCGAACATATGTATACATAGATCATTATGCATAGATATGCACATATACATATGTGTGGATAGTGGTGCTTACGTGTACATGTATGTGTATGTGTATGCGTATATGTTTATGCACGAGTTCTATGTATCTTAACATTTGTATATACATGTATCATTGTATTGTCAGGCGCATGTATCTGTATACGCACATTTATATGTAAATGCACATGCAGATGCACATACATATATATATGTATATGCCTATGTCCTGATTGTAAATTTGCATATGCATTTGGGTTTGTAAATGTGCGTATGTTTACATGTGTATATATATATATGTATATGTGTGCATGGCTGTGCTTAGGTGTATGTATGTATGTATGTGTATGGATATGTGTACGTGCATGTATGTGTATGTGTATGTGTCTACGATTGTGTTTGTGTTTGTATTTGTGTGTACGTGTATTATGTATAGGTGTGTATATATACATGTACATATATAAAAAATAGTTGCGTTCGGCCCATCCCGCCACCGTGCCTGGATCAGGGAGGCCACTCAGGCTTCAAGGCGCAAGGGTCTGGCCAACCGTCTGCTTGCTTGCTGCTTTTGTCCGGAGGGGGGTGAGGGTCCTGCGGGCTTTTTCTTACTTGCTGTTTTGCCGG